TACATATGTAAAATATGTAAAATATTGGGTCATCTAAAAAGTATCCGCGATTTTTTGTCACTAGATGTGTTGATGGTCAACACATCTAGTGACAAAAAACCGCGGATACTTTTTAGATGACCCAATATATTAAAATTTTCAACATTTAAAAAAAAATTTTACACGGCGATAATCTCCTATTTACTAATGATCGGTACGTTATTGAAGCTACATTGGACGCGCATGCATTTGAAACCCGGCCTGTCTAACAACACTGATAACCTATCATGTAAACTGCGAGAATGATGTGGTTAGAGTTTCTCCTAGTAAGAGTTAAGACATAAGAGCGGAAGGACGTCATTGTCAAGTGTCGGATATCGGCCGGAAACAGCACAATTTGACAGTTGATAGCCCGATTTCGCGTTCGCGCCTTCTACACTATGAAACGGTTGTTCTCACACGCACACACACACGCGCGCGCACACACACACGCGCGCGCGCGCGCACGCACGCACGCACACACACACACACACACACACACACCAATTCACAGATTCACTATTCCAGAGAGAAATCTGAGAGAGGACATGATGGCTCAAAACCTGTAACCGCAAAATGCTTGCGAGCGTTAGTTGCGGCGCTGCAAGCGTTCGTCGCGACATTGGAGTTGATTCTTCTTTCCGGCTGTTCCTCCCTTCACTCTCTCTGGTGTCATGGCGTTTTGCGTGCGGACCTCGTGTAAGCCTCTACGATAATTAGTAAGTTAAGACTCGGTAAGGTTCGGAATCCCTTTCTGTTCACTGCGAGATCGACACCGATCACTGTTCACGTCTTTCGGTAATTGTTAACGTCGTCGGATAAGTACTCGTAGTGTATATTTTCTTAATTTCCCGCATTCTAATCTAGCAACCGATACCAGTATCCGAGTCGCCTTACGCCTGCAATCACGTCTCTGTCTTTGTAATCTATATTTGCTAAATAATCATAAGTTTGTATTAAACTGCCTTATGGCATATGAATCAGAATCAACGACTAACATTCATTCGCAAACCTAATGATTTCCCGCCAATTGTCCTTCGCTATTAGTTGGTCATCGCTGCCGGTGCCCAGACACACTCGGCGCCACATTGGGCACAGCAGCCGCAACGTAACTACATACTGCCGCGCTACTATTGCCCTCTGACAAAGGATGACAAACTACATAGCAACATCTACTTAGGATATATCGTCGAATATGGCCAACCCTGTACATACAGCACGATAATATGAACCAAATATCGATTTATCATCTTTAGCCTTGAAAAATGGACGATTCCCATGATTGAAAAAAAAAAACATCTTTCCGTCGAATATGGCCAACCCTATAGTACTAAATATCGATTTATCATCTCTAACCTTAAAAAATGTATTCTAAAAAAAGTGAACTATGTAATTTACATCCACTTTGTCAGAGGACAGTAGTGCACAGCAACATTTTGCAGTTACACGTTTTGGGATTTTTGGGTCATCATGTCTTCTCTCAGGTTTCTCTCTGTTCGTAACATATTGCTACGAAACCTTTCGTGCATTTTCACTGTAACGTGTTTATAATAGGTATTAATATTTGAAAAATGTAATAAAAATCCACAAAACAATTGTTTTTTATTTAATGCAATTTGTGAAATTTATAGGGAAGGCAAAACTTATCTGAAATACCACAACGTTAGCCTCCTGGAAGCTTGCTGAATAATATTTACGCTTTCTCGCATTTCTCACTCCAAGATCCGTACATTCTATCACCATTTTTTCCCACGGAGATTTGAAATAAAAATACTAAAAATTTATGAAAAGAAGAGCATAAAAACCACCGCACAAGATATTGTTTGTGATATTTAATTATCATTACATTAATAAAACATTAGACGTTTCGGCCACAATCTGGCCATCTTCAGTAAATTCACAATATTCTTAAAACGCCGAATTACATACAGCTAACATTAAATTCAACTGTCGTGTAATATAACTATATATTGGGTCATTTAAAAAGTATCCGCGGTTTTTTGTCACTAGATGGTATTGATGGTCATATATCGGGCAACACTAATCCGATTGTGTCAAACGAACGCGCGTCTGAAAGATGACATTTTAGGTTACATTTTTTGTAAACAAAGTTTGGTGATTTATCAATCGTGTCAAAAGTTATATTGGTTTGAAAATGAGTGAAATTTCTGAAGAAATACGCTATGTGATGCTTTTTTACTACAAAAAAGGCAAAAACGCAGCACAAACATGCAGAAAAATTTGTGAAGTTTACGGCGCGGATGCTGTAAGTGAACGTAAACGTAGGACGCAGGAGTTGTTTATTCAATTTCGTTCTGGAAATTTTGATGTCAAAGATCGACCTCGCTCTGATCGGTCAGTCACTGAAAAAGTCGATGAAATTTTGCAACTGGTCGAGCAAGACCGGCATGTGAGCTGTCAGGAGATAATCAATGCACTAAGAATCAACCATGTGACAGTTTGGAATGATTTGAAAAAGGCTGGCTACGCAAAGAAACTCGATGTTTGGGTGCCACATGAATTAACGCAAAGAAATTTGATTGATCGAATTTCCATCAGCGAAATACTACTAAAACGCAACGAAATCGACCCATTTCTGAAGCAAATCATCACGGGCGATGAAAAATGGGTGAAATACAAGAATATCGTTCGTAAAAGATCATGGAGTAAGCGCGGCGAACCACCACAAACGACTTCAAAGCCTGGATTGACGGCAAATAAGGTGATGCTGTGTGTATGGTGGGATTGGAAGGGAGTCGTCCATCATGAGGTGTTACCACATGGCCTAACGGTTAATTCAGAGCTCTACTGTTCACAACTGGATAGATTACAGGAAGCGATTAAGGAAAAACGATTAGAATTGATTAACAGAAAAAGTGTTGTCTTCCATCATAACAACGCCAGACCACACACATCTTTGATGACGCCAAAAATTATGATAACCAAAAATTGAGGGAGCTTGGTTGGGAAGTTTTGATGCATCCATCGTATAGCCCGGACCTTGCACCGTCTGACTACCATTTGTTTCGATCTCTGCAGAACTCTCTTGATGGAAAAACATTGGCCGACAAAAGAGCTGCCGAAAATCACTTGAAAAAGTTTTTCGTCGATAAACCACAGAAGTTCTACACGGATGGAATTATGAAATTACCCGAAAAATGGCAAAAGGTTATAGATAATAATGGCCAATATATACTTGATTAAAATTGATTTTCAATAAAGAAAAATTTCATTCAAAAATTGAATAAAAAACCACGGATACTTTTTAAATGACCCAATATAAACGTATTCTTTCATCATGTGAAGGTGCCTCATACAAAAATGTTAAACGCCAATTGTCATCTTACGAAATATGTAGAACAAGAATTTCCAAATTCTAATTTAACAAATTAACCTATCATTAATATCTTCTAGTCGAAATATGTGAGAATAGAATCGTTACCTGTTTTACAACAAAAAAATGATGAATCTCAAGTACATCCTTTACAAAGATGGAAATTTATCGTAACATTATATGTTATTTGTCATATCATATATGTTACACTATTTATATATATGTGTCAAAAGTTTAGATTGTTCTAGAATTATTTATTAAGTGTGAGAGAGATCTTTCTTAAGAAAAGGCAGATAAACATCGGGCAAACCTTCAGTGTCACTTTGCTTATTGATCCCACTTATTTGGCTTTTAGTGTATCATTTCAGAGATTCTTCTTTTCATTAATGATTGTTCTGTGTCTAAAATTCTGATATTATCCCAATTCAATTCATGCATTCAACTGATGACGCGAAACCTGACATCTCCAAAGTGGATCTTCTTATGTCAGCTCTATGTTCATTTATACGAGTTTTTAATTTCCTTTTTGTTTTGGCCAACATAAGAAGACTCACAATATTTAAACAATTAATTTTATAAACCATTCCACAATGTCCTCTTTACGCAAAGGATCTTTTCCCGTTTTTATAAATCTATTCACTTTGTTTATAGGTTTGTAAGCGATATTAAAGCCCTGAATATGTGATAGTTTTTTGAACTTTTCCGATACTTTATTTAAATATGGTATTTGAAAAATTTTTTCTTTAAATTAAAATTTGAGTCGCTTTCGTTATTATTATGCTCACCATTTTTATCTAAATTAGATCTATTTTCTAAAGTTTTAATTCTATTTTTTATTGTTGAAAAGATAAATTTAAGAGGATAACCATTCATTAACGGAATGTGAATTAAGTCAGAGATGTTTTTTTCCTGAAATTTTGGATGGGATAAAAGTAATATTCTATTTAATTGCCCGATGATTACATCCCTTTTGTGGAAGGGATCCCTTTTGACTAACGGATGATTCGAAAAATAATTTAAATATCTCCCTGAATTAGTAGGTTTTTTGTAAATATCGAAGATGATTCTTCCTTCTTGTCTTATTAGTTTAACATCTAAAAAATTAATGCCATATTCATCGTTAAAGTCAACTATGAATCTTAACCGTTTATGATATGAATTAAACAATTCCAGAACATTCTCCACGTTATCTTTATGCACCGCTAATACAATGTCATCAACATAACGGAAATAAAAAGACGAGATTATTAGTAGTAATAATTCTAATTTTTGTAGAACAATATTCGCTAATGTAGGGGACAATAGAGAGCCCATTGGTATGCTAAAAATCTGTCTTAAATATTTTTTTGTCGAATTTAAAAAATGTAGAGTTAATTATTAGGTGTTGGAATTAATTCGTAGCGTTTTTAATGAAAGAATGTTATTTATTTCACATGAGCATTAAAAAATACATTAATGAAAGTACTTCCCATCACTTGTAAAACGCTACGAATTAATTCCAACACCTAATATAATCATAATTGCTTTAATTATAATTGCTTTGATAAACTCATGTAAAGGAATCCAAGTCTTGTTTTCGATTAAGTTCCACCTACGTTCAATACTCTTTACTATTAAATCGGTCGGAATGTTCGTGTACATTGAGACCACGTCAAATGATATAATACTGAAGTTTTTATCGATTACCTTTCCATTGAGTTTATTTACAATATCAAAACTGTTTTTTACGTAACTGAAATTCTATTATTATTATCTATAATATCTTTTAAGAAGATCACCAATGGATAAAAAGCACTGTTTATGCAGCTAACTACAAGTATTTCAATTTACTATCAATTTTAGCGGATGACCTTCCTTATGAATTTTTGGCAGTCCATAAGAACGCGGAAGTTCGCCGTCCAATACATGCAATTTTTTGTATAGATTTAGGTCAATGTACCCCTTATTTTTCCAATTTTTTAATAAGTTACTAATTTCCGTTGTAATTTTGTTAGTGGGATCTTTATTTATTAAACTGTATGTACTCTGATCGTTGAGAATCTTATACATTTTCCCTATGTAACTTTCACGATTCATAATAACAATTGTATTATCTTTATCAGCTTTGGTAATTAAAATGTCAGGATTCTCCGGGATGAATCGTTTTACCTCCCTTACACCTTCTCGTATGATGTTATTTCCAGACGATTTTATGTCACAATTATTTATTGAATTAAGTATTTGAATAGTTTCATTCGTAACCGATTTACAAATTTCATCATCAGCTCTGAAAAGGTTATACTCAACATGTTTAATGAACTCGAGCACACTTTTTTCTTTGCTGATGACGTTATTAGGCAAATTAAATTGCTGACCTAATTGTAATATGATTTTGCCTTTCTCTGGAATCTTAGTATCACTGAGATTTATTAGCCATTGTTCGTTGGTACTCGTTATTGCTATGGTACTTGTTATTTGTTTTAAATTTTTCCGGGCAAATATTAATTTTATAAGATGTTTGTCGTTCATAGGCCGCAATATCTTTAGTTGTAATTTTCTTTAACTTCAAAGGTGCACTAAGGGTATCGCTATTCATCTTAGAATCTAACACGAGCATTATGTTAATATTTCCAATTTTCATTTCTTCTCTGAAACTACTAGATGGGGTGAAAAGTAACCTTCTTGACCGCCAGAATGCGCCACTACTGCAAAAAAGTTTATGGTGCCTTGTAGTCCGTTCATATTTAGGCAGACATGCCAAGTGGCAGTGCGATACTGCCCTTAGTTTTGTTTTGAGAGCTGATTGTTGTTGACGTGTTTGCGAAAACGATTTTCGTTCTCTCATAAAATTATTTTTTGAGAGGCAAAACGGCGAAGGAAACAAAAGAAAAGTTGGATAAATATTATGTGGTTAATACTCCGTCAGATTACACCGTCAAATATTGGTTTCGAGAGTTTCGCGGTGGCCGCAACTCCACTACCGATGAAGTCCGCAGCGGCAGGCCCTCCGATGCGGACCGAGGAAAATGTCAAAAAAATACATGAAATGGTGTTGGCTGACCGGAAAGTGAAGGTGCGCGAGCTAGCAGATGCTACAAAGATTAGTACTGAGCGAACACGCCATATTTTGGGCGAGATTCTGCATAAGAAAAAAATTTTTTTCATTCCCAAGGAGGTTACTTTTCACCCCACCTAGTATGACTCGTTCGCAGGTTTTTGATTTTATTATTAATTCTTTCTTGTTCTTTCCCCCACATTCTATTAAAATTAGTTTCTTGTCTACGAAAGAAAGAATTGAATATGTTGAATGGTAGAATTTTCTCTATCTGTCTATACATGCTGAACATTTCAAATTTTATCTGTTCAAAATGTTTATATGCATCTTGTAACTCTACCCGTAGATATTTGAATATAAAATTGCATTTGAGTCTGTCAATTTTTTCTTTTGAAGAGTGAAACAGCTTATTATTGTCATTAGGTGTAAATTTATCCATATGATTCGGATTTAGACGTTCCTTCAGACACGTTTTTAAAAACTGAATTCTTATTCTTATATTAATATTCGTCCTATATGTTCTTATACATTTCTTTAATAGCAAGCATGAATGAAATTAAATTTAATGAAGTCAAAAAAATTTTCTACGTTACACATGTTAATGCTCGTGTAATCAAAATACATAATAAATACTTAAGAAAGATCTCTCTCACACTTAATAAATAATTCTAGAACAATCTAAACTTTTGACACACATATATATATAAATAGTGTAACATATATGATATGACAAATAATAATATACAATGTCACGACAAATTTCCATCTTTGTGATGTACTTGAGATTTATCATTTTTTTGCTGTAAAACAGGTAACGATTCTATTCTCATATATTTCGACTAAAAGATATTAATGATAGGTTAATTTGTTAAATTAGAATCTGGAAATTCTTGTTCTACATATTTCATAAGATGACAATTGGCATTTAACATTTTTGTACGAGGCACCTTCACATGATGAAAGAACACGTTTATACATAGTTATATTACACGACAGTTGAATTTAATGTTAGCTATATATAATTTGGCGTTTTAAGAATATTGTGAATTTATTGAAGATGGCCAGATTGTGGCCGAAACATCTAATGTTTTATTAATGTAATGATAATTAAATATCACAAACAATATCTTGTGCGGTGGTTTTTATTCTTCTTTTCATAAGTTTTGATTTATAAACCACGTTCGTTTTTAAAAGTATTAAAGTTTACTTATTTAAAACATCCGAAAATTCAGATTATTTCGTCTACACGATCAAATTTAGTTATATGCGGACGTAAGATTTAAATGTGTCGTTAATTGCGCATGGACTATAAGCATTAATGTAGAAAGGTGGTTATATTTATCAATTTGTAACAATTTCCGAGGAAAAGAATCTAATGTCCGTATTCATAGTCAGATCTTTTACTTACGGCCTCCTTAAATTTTAGATGCTCAACTGAAATAATTCGTAGAGTATCTAAAGATAAAATTAAGGAAGCCTTAATTATAAGGCCTGACTATGAATACGAATGTAATCAGTTCGAGCAGAAAATGGTGATAGTCTGTCATCAACTGCGTCCGCATTAGACTTGTGTTCTGTTAACATCGTCTGTCAATATAATGTGAAGGCAAATTGTTGGCAGATTCTGCCGACATTATCTTGAAGATGCTTGCAGATTTTTTCACGTTTTTTCTAGCAGTTTGTATTATATACAGTATTATGTACATTTAATTCTGTTGGTATTTTGTTGGCATAGTGTGTACCAGACATTTAAAAAAAAATCTGCTTTTTAATAGATAGATGGCTATCTGAGTATTATATTATTGGGTATGGGAATAAGTTTCTGCCCATTGCAGAAAGATGTCGTTAGTAGCATTGCTCGTGTGTTTGATAGAACGGCAAGACATGTTTTTGAAAGATGTGTGTCCAAACTTTTGAGCCCAATAGGTGGCATTCGTTCGAAGCGTAACAAAGAGTAACTTTTTTTGCGTTGAAGATGTCGGAATTTATTCCAAAAAGCAATATTTGCGGGAAGTTTTACTCCATTATTTTATTTTAAAGAAAAGTGCTGCGGAAACACATCGTTTGCCGTAGATATTTACGGTGAGCATA